GTTGCTTCTGAGCTAGATGGCTGCTTGTTTACCTTCAAGCCTTTAAGACCCCAGACGCTATACCTTTTGCATGCCATTTCCATTCTTCAAGTTTTGCTTCAACTGAAATCTATACATCACTAATCTCATTTTAAAAATCCACACAAGCAGAGGATTTATTGAACATCCAAATTAGAGTTTAAGAAATCAAGCTCACATTTAAAGTTTTCCCAATTAAAGGCTAATGGCGATCAGTAGTAACAAGAGCCATGCTATTTTATCTCCGATTGAGCATGGTTGTCAGTAGTATTGATTATCCTTAACCTTAAATAAATTTGATTCAAAAATGAACAATATTGAAACGCACACCTTCCATGGTACTTTCTCACTGTCATTCTGCCTCTGCTGTGTGTGTATCAAATAATGACCTATTAACACACGACTGCACCTTTGCAGCAGCTTGAGTGGCTGGAGTTGGAGCTTGAGAAAGGTAAGGGTGTTGGATGCCAAAGAGGGAAAACCAGGGCTTACATCCCCAGTTGGTTTCCTTTGGTTCTGTCGGTCACTGAGTACACTCCAAACTCTAGGCAGTTGTTTTGTAAATGCCAGCACTTAATCACACAGGAGACCAGGTAAGAGCATCTTAGACCATTGCCATTATGGGCAAACAACTTTCAGCTTGTGTTCTCTAAGATTTCTGTTTGGGGAGAAACCAGCTACTTACAGATGAGAAAAACGAGGCAGCTTGGCATGTTTTGTATTCTGTGTAATAACTGCTTATTTGTCTCAGGATGTATTTCAAATTCTGCCTGTACTTTCGTTCAGCAATTGTGGGCTTGACCTCTAACCTTGCCTACACCACATTAAATAAATCTTACATTTCCATAATTTTGCCATTGCCAGCATCTATGATGCAAGGAACAGATTATACTTTAAATTATCCTCTTTCTCAAGCCCTGGCTGAAATAAAAACCATACAAATGAAAATAACATTACCAGAACCATCCTACACATGAGTGCTAAAAGCAGGAAACCAATGGAAAAACTATTTTCATGAAATACTCCCTTGTCATGAACTTTTCAAAAGAAATTTAAATTCAGACAGTAACCATTAGTCACACGTAAATACTTTTCAGAGCTGTTTTCCAATCAAACAGTTAATGTAATCAATCATATTAAAGATGTGCAAAAGTTAAAAAAATCATCTTCTTTTTTTTTTAAAATAACTTGTCCCTAGGATAGTTTTTAGCTTTTATTTTTTGCTATACCAAGTCCAGTGAGGGAATCACAGGCCTTAATCACCATTACCAAATTCTAAAAGGTAGGTTTTAATGAGGCGTCCTGGGGGTGCAACAATTAAGTGCTCAGTTGCTAATTGAAAGGTCATCGATTGGAATCCATTCAGAGGCTCCTCAGGAGGGAAAATGTGGCAATCCGCTCCTATAAAAATTAAAATCTCAAACTCACTGCCATTGAGTCAGTTCTGACTCAGCAGTCCTACAGATGACAGGCAATTCTCCTCTGTCATGGGTTGACGTGAGTTGGACTTGACTGAGAGCAGTGGGTATGCAGATGTGAAAGCCAGGACTTAGAAAGACTTAAGTACTCAAGGCCACATGCAAGGGCACTTCAAAAAACCCATGGAAAAAATGGAACTAAAAGATAATGGAATTTCTCCACAAACTTTTTTGAAGCCCCTTTAAATGTCAATACATGAGTAGGGTTGAAATTTGTATCCCCATCTGCCTTCTTGGCACCATGCCGTGCTCTTGAACCAAACCCCACTGCTGTTGAATCAATCTAAACTCACCGTGATCCTACATAGGGTTTCAGAGGCTTTATTAAAAATGAGATGGAAGCTGATGTCAAGGGCTTAAGTGGAGAGCAAATGTTTTGAGAATGATGAGGGCAATGAATGTATAAATGTGCTTTGCACAATTGATGTATGTATGGATTGTGATAAGTGTTGTATGAACCCCTAATAAAATGATAAAAAAAAGTGTCAATGCCAACAACAACAACAAAAAAGATGAGGTGGAAAGGGGGAACCGATTACAAGGATCTCCTCCTTGGGGGATGGACAACAGAAAAGTGGGTGAAGAGAGAAGAGACGGTGGATGGTATAAGATATGAAAAAATAATAATAATTTGTAAATTATCAAGGGTTCATGGGAGAGGAGGGAGCGGGGAGGGCAGGGGGAAAAATGAAGAGCTGATACCAAGGGCTGAAGTAGAAGGAAAATGTTTTGAGAATGATGATGGCAACAAATGTACAAATGTGCTTGACACCATGGATGGATTGTGATAAGAGTTGTACGAACCCCCCAAAAAGATGATTTAAAAAAATAATAAAATAAAGATGAGGAACTTGTCTCATCTTTCTCCTGCAGAGTGGCTGGTAGGTTTGAACTGCTGCCCTGTTGACAATCCAATACACAGCCCTCTATTCTGCCCTACTCGTTGATGTGGGTAGGTGCCATGGAGTCGGTTCTGACCCGTAGGGACCCTGTGCACAACAGAATGAAACACTGCCCGGTCCTGCACCCTCCTCGCAATTCTTCCTATGTCTGAGCCCATGGTTGCAGCTACAGTGTTAAGTCCACCTCATTGAAGGTCATCTTCATTTCTGCTGCCCTTCCGCTGTACCAAGCATGATGTCCTTTACTTGTCACTACTTCTGTCAATTTGTTGTGCTGTAGGGGCTTGTGCATTGCTGTGATGCTATGAGATATCCCATTTGCGTTTCACATACCATCAGGGTCCCCCAAAGTGAACAGATTTCAGCAGGCAGCGAGGAACTTGGCTCCCCACTTCAGAGGACGGAGCCCCTGAAAACTTTATGCAGAGCTTGGAAAACCTGCCCCTGCCTCAGGTAAACAAAGTCGTTTGTATCATGGCATCTTCATGAACTCCATATGGGGAAAGTGAGGGCCTCCCTGACCTGTGCACGTTTAAATCATGTAAAACGACAGTATGGGAGATAGATGGAAAGTGATTCTTCATTTATTCAAAGATCCAGATACCAAGTGCAGTTTTTAAGCAATCATCATGTAATAGAATTTTACATAATCAACTTGTGTAATTGTTTTTAAATCCTCTGAGTTGAGCGTTTTTATCTTCATCTTCAGATTAGAAAACAGGTTTGGGGAAGCCAAGTAACAAATGCACGACTGTAATGTTAGTCTGAGGCCACGGCAGGACGGAAGCCCAGCTTTCTCTGACCAGTTGTAGTCAGTCGTTCTCTGTGACCACTACCACTGCTATAGTAATGAAAAATGTAATGGAGTGTGGGGCGAAAATGAGCAAAGGACAAGTCATGTAGATGTTTTAAACACACACACACACACACACACACACACACCCCAAATTTGCTGTAACTCAGAACTGTCCTTGACGTTTCTGAGACTGTATCCCTTTAGCCAAGTAAAAGGCCCAATCTTTCTCTGCAGTCAGCTAGTGATTGTGAACCGCTGACCTTGCGGATTGCAGCTCAGGGTGTAACCACTATACCACCAGAGCTCCTTAGTAGATGCTGAAAGCAAGTAAAGAAGATAAATTGGGGTAGGGGGCGTGGGGGAGGTGTGGGGAGAGAAAAGAGGATCTGGCCTGAGTAGAGGGTTGCTGTGAGTTAGGATTGGCTGCATGGTGGTGAGTTTACGCTTTGGGTACTTGGGTGGGTGCATGGCGGGGTGTGTGTGGCTGGGAAGGGTAGAGGCAGTACACCGCGCCAACCTTTGGCTTACAGGGATGTATTTGAGAAAACAATTCCTCAGTGGGTTTCTGAAACAAGTTGGTCATCTAACAGTGGCACACGCAGCCTTCTGGCGGGTGTTTATCTCTCAGTCCATTTCTTTTTCCTTTTTTTCTTTTCTTAAATGACATCCTTTTGGCTTTTTATAGATTGACTTTAACATCACTAATGTGCTTACACGTTTCCTTCCTGTTTCACAGTAGACCTCAGAACCACAACTTTTTTTGAGTGTGTGTGTGTTTGTGTGTGTACGATCCTTTCCCCTTCTAAGTATATCCAAATTCCTCAGTGGCTTGTCATGCCCTCAATGCCTAAAATTGCATCTCAAAGGCCATGCTTGCCAAGAGAGGGAAATTGTGTTTAAAATATATTTGGCTCAAAAAATTCTGTTAGGCTCATCAGGCTGCATGGATGAACCTACATGTATGAGGATAAGTTATTACAAAATATTAGAAATCTTTATTAAACAAAACCGCACAAACTTAAATTCTTGTTTCTCCACACGTCCTCCATCTATACACTTGTCCATTTATGCACATGTCCTCCATCCATACACTTGCGAAGGAAGTATTTCCGTCTCTCTAACCCTCCCCAAAGAATCTCTGTCCACAAAGTGTCAAGATGGCAGTTTGGGCATCCTCAAGGGACTCAGACTGCGTTCTTTTTTAATATTCTTTGAGTGTGAGAACAAAAAGAAGTCTGAAGGGGCAAGATCAAGGCTGTAGGGTATAAGAGATAAGGTATCCTAGCAGAAGCCCCTTGCCACCCACAAAGAAGGATCCCTGGTGGGGTAGTGGTTCTGAGTTGGGCTGTGATCTGTAAGGTCAGCAGTTCAAAACCATCAGCTGCTCCTTATGAGAAAGGCTGGGTTTTCTATTGCCATAAAGAGTTACAGTCTCAGAAGCCCATAGGGGCAGTTCTACCCTGTCCTATAGGTCGCAGTGAATCTGCATCAACTGCAAGGCCGTGAGTTTCTGAGACACTTGGAGAATGAACTTGGACATTGTCTTTTGTTTGTTTGTTTCGTATATTGTCTTGATGGAAAAAAGTTTCCTTTGGTGTAACTTTCTTGGCCGTTTCCTCACCAATACAATTTCCTATTTTCTTAAAATGTCTTCATAATAATCCCCCATGAACTTCCTGTGTCCTTAAAGAAAAGGTATCAAGGTTACTCCGTTGGAATCTCAAAAAGTAGTTGGCATAGCCTTCTGAACAGAACGCTTTGCCTTAAATTTAACCGGCTTACCTAATCTCCTTAGAATTCACTGTTTTTATTGGACCTTGCTCTCTGGATTATATTGGCAAATCCAAGGCTCTTTCTCTGTTACAAATCATGCCATAAAATTGTCTTCATTAGTCTCAATCTTGCTTAAGTGACTCATAGACCTGATGTCTTGGGCTAGCTGGTGTTTAAAAAATGCTTTGGCACCCAATGAGTCAAAAGCATGCTGAGGCCAAAATGCATACTTCACATTGAAATGTCAAACCACATGAGACCCCAACTTCAGTATCTGTCCCATCAATGTTAATTCTCTGATCTCCTTCCACCATCTCCTGGACTTCAGCCACAGTTTATTCATTCACTGAGCTTGACAGTCTTCCATCTGTTGGCTCACCTTGGAAGGCTTTCTGACCCTACCTTAAAATGCTTGCTCCATCTAAAAATTCTTGTTTAATGTGGAACAGCATTCCAGGAAACTTGCTGTAAAGCTTCAATGAATTGCGAAGATATCCATTTGAGTTTTGTTAGAAATCTGATATTAGCTCTAATCTCAAAATTATCTTTTTTTATGGCACAAAAGTATCTTTTGTTTTATTTTTTTGACACCATCCTAATGAGCCTAATATATGTGTCTTATTGAGAAAACTTGTAGCCATCCACTGATTGCAGAGGCATGTTTAAACAGGTTTTCTTTGTAAGCAACCTAAGCATATACGAACTATACCTCTGGTGGCAATATTTTTTGACTTACCCTTGCATGTACTGTACCTAAGCCTGAGCCATTCCAGCCTCCTCTTGTTGCTTTCTCTCTACTTGTCCTGGGTTTTCACACACACATAGTTGCTTCGTAAATGGAGATGATCAGATGAACACACACACACACACACACACACACACACAAAACCAAAAAAAAAAAATTGACCAAGAATTTAAGAGAAGAAAGATATTCGAAATGTCGTAGTTAAGAGCTTGGGCTTCAGAGTAAAAAGTCCTGGGTTCAAATTCTGACCCCATACTTATTGGCTGATTATTAGAATACCTGCTATTTAGATATCCTTTGTTTGAGTTTCTTCTCCATGAAATCCTTTTGTAAGCAAACAACAGGTGATGTTGACCAGTAAAGAATGTCTGCCTCAAGCATCATGCTCTTTTAAGAACTAGCTGGGATCAAAGTTACAACAGGAACTTGCTATATTATAAAGGGAACTTAGAGGGCAGCGACTTTAGGTTGTGGAAGAAATAGCTCCTAAAGGGAGTGTGAGAATGGGTATACAGTTCAGAATGTAACCAAGGCCACTGAATTGTACATGTAGAAATTGTTGAATTGGTGTATGCTTTTTTGTAGATATTCTCAACAACACAACATAAATAAAATAAAAAAAATTTTATTGCCTTTTCCCACCAACAAAAAGGAGGAACCCATGGTGATCTGCTAACTGAAAGGTTGGCAGGTAGTGTCCACCTAGAGATATTTGGGAGGAAAGACCGAAAGATCTAATATGGAAATTCTAACCATTCAAAACCCCATGGAGCTTCATTGGGTTCTGACACCTCGGAGGGTGCCATGAGTCCAAACGGACATGAGAGCAACTGTGGCACTGGTACTGATCCTGGTATCTGATCATATTAACTCCATAGGCCTGTGACGATTCAATGAGACAAGCCAGTACAAATTCCTAGTAAGCCATCCTGCTCATAGCAAGCACTGAAGAGTGCACCAGGGAGAGGACTACAGGAGATCAAAATGATAAACCTGACCCGAACAGTTAAAACCTTGTCAGCTTGACACAATGGATGGATGTTTGGATTGTGATAAGAGTTGTACGAGCCCCCAATAAAATGATTAAAAAAAAAAAAGAAAATCTGTACAACCCCAGCTTGCAGGTGGACTCTACTCGCATAAACTCCTCATATTAACAGTACCTTAAATTCTATGCCATTGGCAACAAATGTACAAATGTGCTCGATACAACGGATGGATGGATGGATTGTGAAAAGAGTTGTATGAGCCCCCAATAAGGTGGTTAAAAACAAACAAACAAACACCTTGTCAGTTATTCCCCCTCTGAGGTACATTGGGCCTGATCTGGTTTTCAATATTTTCTGTGAGGTTTTTTTTTGAGTTTTTTTTCATATTGGGGTTTATCTCCGATGCATTTTGTCATTGGGGGTAATCCTCTTGGATTTCGGTTATGTGTTTTTCTGTTTATGAACCCCGGGATTGGTGAACCTATGGAGAGAGCGAGTAGAGTAAGAGCTCCTGGGAGGTTCAGTGGGGTTAAAGGGAGCTGATATCAAGGAGTTCAAGAAGGATGAGAAGGCTTTGACATTGATTGTGGTAGCAATTGTACAATACTGCTTGATGTGATTGAACTACGGAATGATATTTTATCTGTATTAGCTCCCAATAAAATGTTTTTTTTAAGTTAGCATAGTGTTTCATTATTATTTGATTATATCTAAAATCATTTTTATAGGTTATATTAGTAGACATTTTTTTCTCCATAACCCCTTAGAAATTCATTCCAGATTTAGATGTTTTAATTAAATAGTTCCAGAGATTGACTGCACTATCCACCACAGCTACAAGGTAGCTGATACAGACACTGAGGAAGGCCTGATGAAGTTATGCTGAGTTTGTGAAATTTGGTGGGATGAGCAAAGGAATTGTAATAATTATAAACTATCTCCTTGTATTTGAAATGAGATTTCCAGCTACTTTCTGGCAAAAAAATAAGTAGCAAGGAAAATAGTAATGCCTTTTGAAACTTTAGATAGTTCTGCAATTTTTGGTCAGTATTTGCTGCACAACCCAGTAGATAACAACCCGAACTGTAATTGTAATATAGGAAAAGTTTCCCTTGCCCAACTTGTGGCTTTCCAGCAGTGGGGGTCTGCT